CCCCAAAACCCCAAAACCCCAAAACCCCAAAACCCCGCTAGTCATTCAAAAGCCTGAAAATATTTAGCATTTATTTTAAACTATTATCTAAGATGGAGGAACCTCCTGTAATAGAGCCACCAACATCAGCAAAGGTGATCATCACAACAACACATGGAGAACTCGAGGTGGAATTATGGACCAGAGAGGCTCCAATCACATGAAGAAACTTTATCCAAAAATGAGCAGAAGGATACTACAACAGCTGTATTTTCCACAGAATTATCAAGGATTTCATGATTCAGACTGGCGATCCGACTGGAACTGGAAAAGGTGGTGAGTCGATCTTTAAACATCCATTTAAGGATGAATTTCATAAGAGTCTCCGCTTCTCTCACAGAGGAAGAGTTGCCATGGCTAATACTGGAAAGCCTGATGACAATGGTAGCCAATTCTTTATCACATTGAATGAATGAGGCTGGTTGGATGAAAAACACACAATTTTTGGGAAAATCACTGGAAATACCATATACAATGCCATTGCTTTGGGAAATTTAGAGACTGGTGAGCACGATCGGCCACTTGATCCCGCTCCAAAGATTCTCAGCACAGAAATAACCGTGAATCCGTTCAAGGATATAGTAATACTGCCTAACCTTCTAGAAAATAGCAAAACCTGTGCCAAAGGAGGCATCCAAAGAGGCTCCAAAAGAGCCCAAAAAGGGTGCAAAAATAAGCCTCAATAAGGGAATCAAGAATAAGAACCTAGTCTCATTCGATGATGACGAAGAAGAAGTGGTAAGACTACAGTCACAATTTTATTTAGGTCTTTAAGTCCTCTCGAAAAGTCAAGAGTTCTCACGAAGTCCTGAACGATCCCAAACTCAGCAAGAAAAATGTCATTGATCCTGAGAAGCTTAAACAGGAAAGAGCCAAGCGTGAGAAAATGGAGAAAAGGAAGGAAGAATTTAAGAAGAAAAGAGAAGCCAAAAAGCATTCCAAAGATGATGGTAGGCTCATCTTCTGCTTCTCAATTTCAGGCTGTGGATCCTAGTTATTCTTGACTTATAGATGACGATGATATCCTCTTAATCTTCAAGAACAAGAGAAAAAGACTTGAAAAACTTAAGAATAATGATCCCACCAAGAAAAAGAAAACAAAGGAACACAATAGCTCAAGCTCAAGCAGCGGGAGTGATTCAGAAAGTGCCAGTGATTCTAAAAACAGCCAAGGGAAATCGAATAGGTGAGGTTAACCAGTCATGTGTCTAGTAATGCTCTTCACTTTCGGAAAGATAAGATTGGATCTAATCTCAACCCAAAAGCAGGAGATAATTCAAATCTAACTCCTCTCGAACTGCAGCGTATCAAATATCTTAAGAATAAGAAAATTATCAAAAATAGAGAAGAGAGCACACTAGGTAAATCCTTTCTCTAATTTTTATAGCAAAGCTAGCTAAATTTACGAATAAACTTAAAAGCCAGGATACGAAGGAAGACCCAGAGAATTGGATGAATCACAAATTAAAATGCTCAAGTAATGCTTTCCTCTGATTTTCTAGTTGATTCTGCTAGGGCATATGATACCACGAACAAGAATAAATAAGCAAATTTGAGTTTAAACTTCAATTCTTGATATCTAAAGAGGGGTTTTGGGGTTTTGGGGTTTTGGGGG